ATCATTGTTCAACTTGAAGAACATCAATCTTCTCCAAGTAGTTCCATCACCTTCTACGTGGAGGATAAGTGCAGAAAGGAATTCTGTGTTGTGTACCAACAAGGCAATTAGAACAAGTTTCAAGAGATGTACCTTCAATTGGAAGCAACCCTTGTCTTACAAGAGCATGAAGACCCTTCTCACTCAAGTGACCAAGACGTTTATGCCATAAATTTGTAGAGCAATCCTCAATTGCATTCACTTGAGGTGTAGGCAACTTAGCTGATGTCCAATAAAGAGTATTTTGTTTCTCTCCCTTTGCTATCACCAAAGTCCCTCTGGTGCATTTCCATTTGCTATTACCAAAAGAATTATGGTAACCATCTTCATCAAGTTCTTGTACTAAGATCAAGTTGAGGCGCATGTTAGGGATGTGCCTGATGTTCTTCAAGTGTAACTTGCATTTGATATTAGTCTCCAACCAAATTTCTCCAATGCCAGCAACCTTACTTACCCCTTGATTTCCCATCTTCACTTGCCCAAAATCTCCGACAGTGTAGGATGTAAAGTACTCACGGTGTGGTGTAACATGAAATGAGGCAGCAGAATCAATAACCCATTCATACTCCTGTAATGCAAGATTAATAGAATTATTATCATAAACAATGACAACTTCACCATTAGATATAACTACAATAGTGTCTTTGTCTTCTCTTTTATCATTGCCTCTACCCCTTGATTTATCTCGCTTAAGGAACTTTCACTCTTTCATTACGTGTCCCATTTTATTGCAATGGAAACACTTAATGTCTTTCCTTGTCCTTGATCTTCCTCTTCACTTGATACGATCATCATATCTCTGATGGTTTCTTTGATGGCTTCTCCCCCTTGATTCCATAACCAAAACTTCATTATGAGTTGAAGAACTAACCATTCCTTGTCCCTTTCTCCTAGTTTCTTCATTCAGGAGACCATCTTTAACCATATTAAAAGTCAGCTTCCCATTAGGAGTAGAGTTACTTAGAGATACCGCCAATGTCTCCCAACTATCTGGTAATGAACTAAGCAACAACAATGCCAATAGCTCATCATTTAATACAATCTCCATAGTATTCAACTGATTCACACCAAATTCTGAAAATTGCTTAAGTGCTCTGCCACTGACGAATCATTTTTTTATTTTAAGTTTACTAACTTTCGGATGAGGAACGCCTTGTTTTGTGCATTTTTAAACTCAAATATCTCACTCAATTTCTTCCATAAATTGAAAGCATTAGTCTCACTAGACACATGATGATAAATTCTTTGATCTATCCATTTTCTGATCATGCCAATAGTCTTCTTATTGGCCTTCTTCCAATCTTCTTCAGATTTATCTGCTGGTTTGGTGCCACTAGCCTCAATGGGATCATACAGGTCTCTACAAAATAACAAATTTTCCATTCGAGACTTCCAAATAGAGTAATTGGTGGAATCCAATTTAATCATTATACCAGCAACATTGCCTTCACCCATCTTCAGAAAAGAAACCAGAGCCCCTAACCGAAGCTCTAATACCAGTTGTTAGGAAAGATAACCAGAATAATAACAATTAAGCGGAAGCAAAACTGGATCTCCTTTTTCCCTGTATAAATAATAATAGGCTCTGGAAGCAACAAAATAATTTTAGCAGATGCACAAAACATAAAAATAGAAATCAACAAGCACCAAATTTTAAAGTGGGAAAACCCTCAATGTGAGGTAAAAACTCATGAGACCTTATCTAGTAAAAGCTCCACTAATAATAATCAATGGTACACCACAAGTTCTCCTGGAACCACTAGGGATCACTAGAAATAGCTCCTCACCAATATGGTGGATAAAAATGCAAGAAAATTCTCAAATAGGTATCTAACCAAACAATAGAGAGAACCAAAATATACAGAAATTGGTACCAAACACTTCTCCAAATTTGGTTGCTCCACTCCTTCTCACAGAATTTTCTTGTATTGTTATCCGCTTTGGGCCTAGCCCTCACGGTTTTTGCTTTTGGATACCACCCAAAAGGCCTCTCTACCAATGGAGACAACTGTGTGATGGAACTACTTGGAGATGGTTGATGTTTTTTCAAGTAGAACCATGCTAAGTCCCTTCTTCTCTTGAGGTTCTTCACGTCAATGGAAGATTTGGATGAGTTCAAGCTTCAAAAGCTTGAAGATGCTTCCCAAGGTGGTTCGATTTCTCTTGAAGGAGAGAAACTTGAGGAACCAAGCACAAATGAGAAGTTCCTTTGTGAAGCTTCTAGGAGAAGGAGATTCTCCACGAAATTGGACTCTTGAAATGAGAGAGAATTTCTGAATTCTAAGTCTCATAACTGTCAAAAGTGATTACAAGAGTAGAAATTACAAATATATAGAGGTAGGTAGCTTAAGGAGCAAGCTAACCTTAACCATGAAGCAAGCTAAGGAGAAGCTTGTAGCACAAGCTTCTCATCTCCTTGAAGGTTAGAGAAGCAATTCGGTCAAAGAAAGGAGACTAGGCAAAGTGGGCGGATTTGGTCTCTTTTGGCTCCTTGAATTAATTTAAAAAATGTTTGATTTGATTTAGTTAGGTTCATCTAATGATGATGAAACCTAGCTAAATCAAATCTATGAAAAATTAGGAGCAAAATGAGTCCAATATGTAAAATTTTGCCTAGGCCCAATTCTGGCCCAATTACTAGTCACACCCTCAAGTATTGGTAAATGCCACCCCTCTTTTCCTACTGAAAAAATAGAAAATGAGTGTATCAACAAAGGAGGTTAAATGGAGTCAAACTCTCCAAGTAACCCACCCTAGAATCAATATACAATGACTAATAAAAGAAACTAAAGTGCCTCACAAATACAAAGGCAAAAATAAGCCTATACAAGAGAACTATGTACAAGATATTTACAACTAGAACTATGCCTTCTCTTCATGATAGAGTGGTCCAAATTGAAGAGTACCTTGGGCTTGGAAAGCCCACTGGTCTTCAAGGTGTCCACTGGTCTTCAAGGTCGCCATAACTATAGAGATTGGGCCCTTGGCCCATGGTCCATCATCCCATCCTCTTGGTTCCTTCAATGTATCATCTCTTGGATTCCTTGGCCTTGACCATAGTTTATCACTGTGTATATAAGGGATCCCAAACTTGGATCCACCTGTCAGCTATCATACGCATCGAGCTGGTCACCTGATCAGACCATCGGCTCTGATACCACTTGTTGTGCACTAGGGGTTATCACACACATACACATGTCTCCACATTGTCTGCTTTGGGCCTAGCCCTCATGGTTTTTGCTTTTAGATACCACCCAAAAGGCCTCTCTACCAATGGAGACAACTGTGTGTATATATATCCATGTCTATCCTCTTATTTGAATGATGTGGGACTTTTCTTGCATCCCAACATTTAATAAATATGCAATAGGTAAAAGTGGATAGTATAACTAAGTCAACTATGTATGCATTTTTTTTGAATTGTAAGCTTGAAATATCAAATTTAAAAGTCATTTTAACTAGCTAATATGAAAAAAACATGAATGCATAAGTGAATGTCCACTTCAAAATTGTATTGCTCTATTTTGCTCTCTACTCTTTCTATCTATCTATTTTCCTTCTTTAACAATTATTTATTTGAATGAAATGGTTCACCTTGGATTGTAGAATGCCCTATTGAAGAAGATACATAAAATTATGAACGAGTTGTCGTTAGGGATGAGAATAAAACATGTTAGGCCAGACTTTGAATATATAGGTCAGACCTGCTCTACAAAATTAAAGATCAAGCTTAATCTATTATCTATCATAGTTTTTTTTATAGGTTTGATCTGACATTTTTAAAGTATGGTTTGACCTATTAGCCTATTTAAAAGCATGACTTAATCTATTAACAAATTTAAAAACCTATTTTATACTAATAATGTTAATTAGATTAATAAGTTTAATTTTTAAAAACCAAAAAATTTATTTTTAAATACGTCCTTATGAGTTATTTTTTAGTTTACATGATAAAATATAATTTACTCAATTTAATAAAATTTAAATTTTTTAAATATATACAATGTCACAAAAAAGAGGAAAAAATGAATCATTTTCTATTAGAAAGACAATTGATGTGGTCACTTTTGTTGGTGTACACTCACACAGCTTATAAATCTATAATGAAAAAAAATAATTATATACAAAATATTTTAAATATTTCTTATATCTAATTTAGTATATTCTAAATAATCGACTCATATTTTAACAAGCTAAAATAATTATGATAATAATTTACAAACTAAAAAAATATTTATTATACACGAGATGATTAGGAGTACAGAGTATATATATAATGTCACAAAGAGAAAATAGATAAATTTTTTTTTTTAAAGAGACAACTCATGTATATCTATATACACTCATATGAAGATTATGACAAGAGAGGTTAAATTTATTAAAAAAATTAATTATTAAAATTATTTCATTTGACATACTTTTAATAACCAACTCGTATTTTAAAAAATTAAAATAATTATAATAATACACATTTAGATTATTAATTTAATTATAATAAAATTAATTAATTTAAAAAGATGACATAATTATTTAATATAATTAATTTAATATTAATATAATTAATTATTTATTTATATTATTAATAATATATGTATATTAATTTTTATTATATTATATTATATAGATAAATATTGACTTCTCAAATTTAACAATTTTTTTATTATAAATTTAAATTTAAATTTTTTAAATAAATATATTTTTAAAATTTTAAATTTATTTTTTATTAAAAAGATTAGAACATAAATTTCTATTTAATCAGTGACACCTCTTAAAACCCCCTAGTTGTCGTGATGCAGTGAAACTCAGGAGTCAGGATAGAAAAAAGAAAAAATAGACATTCTAACTGTAAATCCTTAATTCTTATTGCCACCTAGATTGTGAACGATTGTCATGTTGTCCTGGTGCAGATCTTTGTTTAAATTGCCATCTAGATTTATATATTTTTTTAAAGAAAATTATATCATTAGTATTAAAAATAAAAACAAGAAAATCTCTTTCACTAACACGAAACCCTAAACCTTATTTCTCTGCTCATGAGCGTAACGAAGGACATCATGGCTCTCTTGTAGCACTTGAAACCCCAAATCCAATGTCAAATCTTTTCGCACATTCTAACGGTAAATCCTTCTTCCTTATTCTTATCCTTCAACTTTTGATTCTCCCAATCCAATCATCGCTTCAGATTCAGTTTCGTAACTCAGATTTTAAGTAAATTCGGATAGGAGCAATAGAAAATGAATCTTCACTTATTATTATTATTTTCAGTTTTGTCTTTGTATCCCTAATTGGCTTCTATTGCAATTTGCTATGTCAATTGTGAAGCAATATTTACATTCTGTATGTTTAGAGTGACGCATTAGCTTTGGCTTGTGTTGGGTTGAGAATAATAGCATTGATCAGATTCACAGAGAAACCACCACAATGTAAAACCATGAATAGCATGTAAAAAGGATACTTTAGTATTTTGCGTACCCTTTAATTGCTCTTCCTCATGATGAAAGTATTTCTGTTAATAGATGTGAACCGAACCTTTTTCAGCCTTCAGAATTCTAAGGTTAGATTGAGGGTCAAAGGATGATTCAGCTGGAATGAAATGCATTAGATATCCTGAAATTACTTCAAATAAAATCATTTTATAATATTTTAAGATTATATCAACTTATTGTCACTGTTGAATATCATTAGTTTCCTAAAGTTAGATACTTGCTGCTTATAGAGTTTTTGCGTTTTGATTGATTTTAGGAGTAATCCCTGTAATCCAACGATATGATCATATTTGTTCATGTATGTAATAACATATCTTAGAGAGTATCTTTTCCCCTTTCTTAATAACCATCTCATCGGCACCCTCCATCCTCCACTAACAGTAACAGTTCTAAGAGGCCATTCTCTCCCCTCACATATTCTTCATTTGCAGTGTCACCTGCTACTCTTGCTTTTGTACGCAGAAAGCACTTGCTCTCTTACAAGGTCACTTGTTTAACTATCATGTTAGGATTTCTGCTAATTTGTATATTACTGGGTTATAAAATTTGTTAAGTATATTTCTCCTGGCTTCTGCAAATATGACCGAGCATCGCAATATCTTATTTATATAATGTTAACTGCTTTGTGGGCACAAGTCCACTTTGTGAAAGCATCAAACAAATCAATAAGTTAAATTATTTTCCTTTGTTAGTTCACAAGATTAGGAGGCAGCAGGACTAAGAATTCCACCACCTGATACAAGCTAGAAAACAGAGGTATGATTCTGAATTGTTGAAAACTATTATCTTATGGTTGACTTTTTTCTATTCATTCCCCCACCTGTGTATTACATGAATAATGGTTTTTCTTTACAAAATGAAATGGATTGTTATTATAAATTTATAATTGACATTGGCTAATTGCTTTTTTGTGGTTGTGAGGTGATTTTCTTTCCAATATTTAATTTATATTTTCTACAATTGTAATGTGTGCTTGTGATATTTTATCTTCATGCAGTATCTGTTGCAAGTTGGTCTTGCTACTTTTCCTTTTACTTTTAATTTTTCATTAAACTTTTTTTTATTGCACTCGTGTGAATTTTCCATAAATAATTATGAATTATATATTTAAATTTATAATCTGCACCAAAAAGCTTTATATATATATATATGTATATATATATATCATTTTATGCTATTACGTCAAAACAACCTAAAATTACTTCTCAAGTTGAAATTGTTTATAATAATTATACCCAGATGCAAACTTGTGCTTTACATAAGAATCGCTTTGTTTTACCTAATTTTATGATCACTTTTTATAAACTTAAGCAAATAGGCCCCGAATCGCAAGCATTGCAGGTTTGAAATGGCTTTGTCACTGTGGAGAAGTCGCACTGCATCATCAGCACTGAACTTGTTCACCAATGCTGTTCGTCGTTCCTCTTCTGGTACATACATTTCTCCTCTCGTTCTCAATGATTACAACATTTAAATTAAGTTTCATAGTATTTTTCTAGCAGACGGAGAAAGTCAGTAAAAATATTGGAAATCATAGTAGTCAATAGAGGTTTGAAATGGCTTTAAAGGTTTGCGGATTTTCTCTTCTTTATCTGGTGTATCTCTGCCGATCTGTCTTCTCCGGCGGATATCCGTCGATCTGTCTTCTCCGACGGTGGCTCTGTCTTCTCCAGCATCTGCAGACCTGTCTTCTTCTAAGAGGGAAGACAGGCGGTGACGGCTGGCTTGAGTCTCACGAATAGAAGGGTTGCAGGAAAAAAAATTAGGGTCAGAAAAGTTGGGCCAAATGGGTCCAACTTTTATTTTCTCTTTTGGGTTCCTACATGTTGTGAATAGCGACAGGTCTTCAGTTTAACTTGACAGCTTTACTCAGATGATTTGATTGATTTACATCCTAGCTTTGCACTAATGAAGCCATATTCTTTTTAATACTGTTTAATGGTGGCTTACAAAATCATTTATTTTATAAAAAATACTCACAAGTTGAGTTATAGCCTTGTTCATGCTCTGCTGCTCCATGGATGATCCTAAATTATATTGCTTTAGGTGGCATCATTAGGGACACATGTTAGAAGAGGTAGCGACAACATATTTATGGATTGTGTTCTAAAATAAAACAATTCATAACATGGGGTGGGTAAATGATATATTTTATTTTGTCTATGGGCCAAGTGCTATCTTAGGCCTGCTAGATCTAAAGTGCATATTATAGCTTTTGTGCTGCTCTTGTTGCTTCTTCATCGTGTTTGGGTTACATTTATTTGTTCTGGCTTTTTACAGAGGTGACAAACAGCAGTCCTTATAGTACACGAGAGAGTATGATGAGTCAAATGATGTATTCTGACATAAACTCACAAATTGGGAGTTGCATGCCACTGTCTGCAATGCGAATTGGAACAATCATTCACAACATTGAGTTGAACCCAGGGCAAGGTGGCAAGCTTGTCCGAGCTGCTGGAACTAGTGCAAAGATCTTGAAAGAGCCCACTTCGACATACTGTTTAATCCAACTGCCCTCGGGTGTTAAAAAGTTTATTGATTCTCGATGCAGGGCCACTGTTGGTGTTGTGTCTAATCCAAGCCATGGGGATTGCAAGCTTAGGAAGGCCGGACATAGCCGATGGCTTGGCCGAAGACCGGTTGTTCGAGGAGTGGCAATGAATCCCGTAGATCATCCTCATGGTGGAGGAGAGGGTAAGAGCAAGAGTAGTGGTCGATGGGGGCGAGGATCTCGCACTCCTTGGGGTAAGCCAACTAAATGTGGCTACAAGACTGGACCCTTGAAGCGCAAAAGGTAGTAGTAGTAATATTAGGATACAACATTCACTATAGCTGTTTTTGATGTTTCCTTATCAGATGCTTGCAATAATTGTGGAAACTGTCATTCCTGTTTTAGGGAATTCATGGAATTAATTAGGTTCAGCCAATTTGTGGAAATTCTGGGTTCAAATTTTATTGTTGTGAAAGTAAAATGTTGTTAACATGTTTGCATTCAGCTTACTGTACACCTCCATTGTTCACAAGATGAAGTTTGCTAGACTGTCTGATGCTTTTAAGAATCCGTTTTGGATAAATTTTGTTGACAGAACATTTTTTGTTTCTTTTAACCTTATGTTTTGTTTGACCCTTTATTCACTAACCTGCATACAATGGGCTGACTCCCTCGTTCGAAAATATCAGGAAGCAATTTTATCCTTATGTGGGTATACAAGGAATTATTATTCGTGTAGATTCAATTATTGTCAAAATAAAAAATAATAAACAAATAAGATGGGTGACGGAGCTACTCATGCATCTAGGGGGTCATGAATTTTTTAAATTTAATTTTTCTTATATATATATATATATTAAAATTATTATTTTTATTAGGAATGTAATATTGTTATTTATTTTTTATTTGACAAAATATTTTATTATCTTTTTATAGTTTTTATTGTAAATATTTTTATAGAAAAATATTATGTTTTTCATTTTATGATCTTCATTGCAGAGATATTTCTTTTCTTTTCTTTTTAAGCAAATTATTTACCAACATAAAATGATTTTTTTTAATTGTTTCTTTTCTTTATATAATTTTTATAGAAATTTTAAAAGTTGTAAATAATGGTATTTATAATAAAATGAATGTTTTCATCTTTTTTTTTTAATGAATTTGATTATAAATTGATTTGAGAATTAAAAAATATTATTAATATTTATTGATAAAACACATTTGTACATTATATAAGAGATTGACATATTGAAGTGTAAATAACATCAATAAAATTTCTTTCATATTTTATGATAATTTTTCTTATACATATATATTTTCTCATCTCTTTGTGGTTAAACATAATATTTTATTATCTTCAATTCTTATTGACTATTGTCTTAATAAATAATTTGGTGAAATTTTTATTTTTATTGATAATTATGACTAGTGTGCCAAATTTTTTTTTGAGGAGTAATAATTTATTTTGATTTAGTAGATTCTTATAACAAAATTAATAATATTTGTTTATTATTAAACATATTCTTTAAATAAATTTGTGAAACTTTTTAAAAATGAGTAATTATAAATATTTTATATAAAATTTTAATATTTATATATTTATTAAATAATTTCTTCTTATATTTGACTTATGTTATAATTTAGTTCTGGTTTGGTCCCTGAATAGAGAGATATGCAGAGATGAGAGGGGACGTGTGTTTGATTTTCTGATAGATTTATTTTTGTAGGGTTTATACAATTGGTTTGTTATTTGATTTCTATTTTGCCTTTTGGTTTGGACTTTTGTTTATTGTGCAGCTCTTAGACTTGGGTACTTGATCCAAGTAAGAATGGCTATAAAGCCTTCCCTTCTGCAAAAGTAAAAGAAATAATAAGTGTTATAATAAATAGCTGAAAGGCAATTCATACGTAGTCAAAATATGTTAATGTCAATCATGCTCAAATCGTAAATTTATAAATTTATAATAAAAAAATAATTGAATTTTTGACTGAATGAATAGAAAATATATATATTTTCATTATATATATATATATATATATATATATAAGGCTCTGATACTAGATGTCCCGAAGTGGATTTAGGAGGGTAAAGGGGAAAAAGGAAATATGCAATAATGAACCAGATTTACACGGCAGTAATCCGCACAATACTGGGTATCAAGGGCACACTTGGCGAATCAGGCTTACAAATCCCAGGTTTTCACAAACTCCTTAAATGATGCAAGAAAGTAAAGAAATCAAATGAAGAAAGAAAGATTTTATAAACAGAAAAGCTTACAATGAAATATCTCAGAGCTTCTCTATCTGAACTCTCTCTCTAAGATGTTATCAAAATGAAAGGGTACCTCACAACATGGACGAGGCCTCCTTTTAAAGACTAAAAATTTACTGTTTCAACAGTACAAGTAACTTGACTTGAACTATTAACTACAGTGCCGGTATCTTGACTGGAACTGTTCATTCAGGCCATGATTTGCTACAGTGCCGGTATCTTGACTGGAACTGTTGATCACTTTAGACCAGGTAGATATCTACATACAATGCCGGGTTGAAATGATATCGGTAAATAGCCACGATGATATGCGGTGCAGGGTTTTCACAATATGTAATGTGAATATGTCCACCATTAAATAAATATATCATGATTAATACTTTAAACAAATTGAAGATTGTCAGATTTCTACTAGGTTTATACCAAAGCAGTCATCTTCATTTTGATAGAATTCATCTAGAGAAGTTGTAGACTCTGATGAACTAGGTAAAGAGGATTTTGAAGTTTCGCCTTCATTCTTGAGTAGAGCTAAAATTTCTTCAAGATTTTTGGAAAAACTTTCTTTTGTTTTTGCAGCAACCAGTGACGCTGTAATTTTTACTTTCAGATTGAGGAACAATGATGTTTCTGGGTCAGCTGGTTTTAGCAACTTTGTGTTGGAGGCAAACCAATTTTTTACTTCTTGTGGGTTTGCCCTACTTGCATCAAATTGAGTCCACCATTTGACATAAGAGTTTCTTTGCAATGGAGGAGGTTGCAATGGATGTTGTGCTTTTCCAAACTTGTATTGCCATGAATGTATCCATGATAGTGAAAAGCTTGAAAATAATTGAAGATCTGCTAGGATCCATGTATTTTGATTGTCATACATGGATTTAAAGATCTTAAATCCTTCGTCTGCTGGGGTTGGGAGGATTTCTTCAATTGGACCAAAGAAGTCCCACCATTGGAGAAACCAACTGGGGAACTTATATTGGACATTTCGTTTGAAATATACACGAATGACGGTTGGTCTTATTTTGATACCAGAATGTTTTATTCCAGGCATCAATATAATCCCAGTAATTATACCCAATAGGGTCAAAAAGCATTGAAAATTTCCGAGTAGTACTCGGGTTTTGGCCAAACTGGCTTGGGGTTAAAACCTTTAAAATTTGGAAGGTTGTATGAGTTACATTAGAAGGATCTTTGGGATCCTTATAATGCTTGATTGCTACCGAATCTGTATCAACCAGGATAAACTCATAAAACTTTCGTGTTTTGTTAAGGGCTAGAGGTTTAAAATGAAAGCCCTCAGGAAAAATCTTTTGTGGAATTTTATTTGGGTTTTTATCCCAAAATTCATATTCTATTGAGTAATCACCCAAAATTTATTCTTGGGAATGTAATGTGATTAGGTTTTTTGAGATCTGGATTGGGTTGTAATTTGATTTTGAGAGGTGGATTGGATCTGTTTTTCCTGGTATTTTTCCATAAGGAGATCGAAAGCCTTTGATTCTTTTTCATCTTCTTCTTCTAACATGATGTCAGCCCAAGTCTTGTTTGGAATTGAGGTAAGACTTTGGTTTTGAAGATTCATGAGGGTTGAGATTGAAATTGGTATAGCATAATCTAGCTTTGTTTGTTTTTGGGGTTGATTGGTGTGCTGAGTAGATGACTCTGCAACTTGATTTGGTTGAGTCAGTGACTCTAAAAGTTTGAGAACCGGGGAGGATGGTTCCATAGGTTGTTTTGTCCTGGAAGAGACCGACTGTTTTCCTCTACCTCGACCTCTGGTCGAGGCCAAAATTGCCTTTTTAGGCATTTGTTGTATTCTGTAAATATTCACAAGTTAAATAGTCAGGTAGAGAGTTAGAAGTGCCTTTGAGATATTCAATGTCAAAATCAAAAACACTTAAAATTGCTTGCTATCTAGCAAAAATTTGCTTTGATGCAAGGTTTTTGTCATCCTTTTGCAAAATTTCTTTGGCTGATTTGAAATCAACCCTAATTAAAAATTTTTGATTTAAAAGATCAGATTGAAATTTTGAAACACACAAAACAATTGCTAAAACTTCTTTTTTAACAGTTGAATAATTCTGCTGTGCAGGATTCCAATGTTTGGAGGTATAGGCAACTATATGTTCTACTTCTACTAGTTTTTGTTTAAGAATTCCTCCATAACCAAGATCAGAAGCATCTGTTTCTACGATCTTGAAGGCTTGGGGAATAGGCAGGGAAAGACAAGGAAGGTTTTTAACCAATTGTTTGACATGTTTAACTGAAGTAGTATGATCTTTACTCCAAGAAGGAGGATTTTTCTTTAATCGATCATGCAGAGGTTTGATAATATTGTTTAAATTGGGAATGAAGTCTCCCACATAATTTAAACATCCTAAGAACCTTTGGAGTTGAGTTTTATCAGTGATTTTGTCAGGGAATTTATCAGCAAATTCTATGGATCTACTAATAGGAGTAATTTTCCCCTGATGGATAATGTTACCCAAAAACCAGATCTTTGTTTGGAAAAGGCTAATTTTTGAGCTTGAGACTGCCAAGCCATTTTGCCTAATAGTTCGGACAAAGATGTTTACATGTTTGAAATGTTGATCAATAGATTGGGAAAAAATTAAGACATCATCAATATAGACGATGGCAAAACTTGTATAAGGATTAAAAATGTCATTCATAATCTTTTGGAATTCTGAAGGAGCATTTTTTAATCTGAATGGCATAACATTCCATTCATACTGTCCAAAGGGAACTGTGAAGGCGGTCTTGTACCTTTCTTTTTCTTGTATCTGAATCTGCCAATATCCTGATTTCATATCAAATTTTGAAAAGATTTTGGTAGAATGAAGACGATTGAGAAGATCTTTTTTGTTTGGAATAGGATACCTAATCCATTGAAGTGCCTGGTTGAGAGGCTTGTAGTTTATGACTAGTCTAGGGGTTCCTCGTTCAAGTTCAACTTTTTTATTGACATAAAAAGCTGCACAGGACCAAGGGCTTTTACTAGGTCTGATGAGATTTTTGTTTAAAAGATCCTTGATTTCCTGTTTACAATATTGGAGTAATTGCTCATTCATTTGAATGGGTCTGGCTTTGGTTGGGATTTGACTTTCTTTGAAATCTTTTTCATAAGGAAGACTAACAACATGTTGCTTTCTATCCCAAAAAGCATGAGGAAGGTCAGAACAAACAGAGTTTTGGATTATAAGCAAAAGATCTTTGATCTTGTTTTGGATATGATTTTGCTCAAG